AGATGGCAGACTACCTACGAGAGAAGGTTCTGGAATCGCTTGGGATCTCCTTTCGTGAGACGCAGAACTGCCGGCGCTGGATTACAGAAGTGACAAACATGATATGGGAAGCTCAACCAGCGGAGCTGCGTACTGCCCTGTGCTGGACCACACCGCTTGGCCTCGTTGTGCGTCAGCCGTACAAAGTGCGGAAGGAAATTACACTCTTCACACCACATGGTTGTTCGCGTATCCCCGGTGACGCCTTCTCCGCGGCGAGCCGAAAGCAACTAACAGCCATTGCCCCAAATTTGATTCACTCACTTGACGCGACCCATCTTGCCATGACGGCGATTGAGATGCAAAATCTTGGTCTCTCCATGATGGCCGTACACGACAGCTACTGGACGTACGCCTGCGACCTCCCCGTGCTAAGCAAAGTCTTGCGCCAGCAGTTTGTGACGCTCTACAGCAAGTATGACCCGCTGTGGGAACTGAAGGAGCAGTGGGAGGAAGCGTACTTTATGGATCTCAGAAGGCACGGCACGCTCCTGCCAGACCCACCGAAGCGTGGAGATCTTGACTTGAGTGTTGTGCTTGACTCGCCGTACTTCTTCTCGTAACCCCGTGGCAATGGAGGGGCGGGAAGAGAGGTGTTGTTGCAGTAAAATCCCTTCGCCCATGTTGTTGCCACCTGCGCCCGTTTTCTATGTGTCTTTTCTTGTATGATCCCGAGTGGCGTGGAGGGTGGTAAAGTTTCTGGAAGAATATAAGAGAAGAGGGTGGGGAGGGGAAAATGAAGAAACATATTAATAAAATAAGAAGAAGAAGGGGAAAAGGATGACAACATTAATGCACACACACATGTAGACTTGTGTATGTGCATGCGCACCTTCACGTCGCGCCACATCGAAGGTCTGAATAGGCCTTTTTGTCGTTGTCTTCACATCTCTTGTGCGTTCTTTTTTTTTTTTTGGCAATTTGTCCCGAGAAAAGGGCCCTCACACACACACAGGGAGACAGGGAAAGAGAGGGAGAGGGAAGGAGATAAAGATGTGTTGTTTTTTTTATTATTATCCCCGTTGAACACACACATACGCAGTATTGCACGGTGAACTCATTCACTCCTTGAACCTCTTCTTTTCTTTCTTCTTTTTTTCTTTTCTTTTTTTTTTTTTTTGTTGTTGTTGTAAAAGCGAGGAGCCATAGCCAAACACCCACCAACGGCCGGGCAAACACAAGTAGACAGATATATCGCATTCAAATGGATACGGTTCAGGAGGAGATTACAGTTGCCGCCATTCAGAGTGAGCTGAAGGCTGCAACACATTTGTTTGACCAGAAAATTCGTCGCGCCGTTGAAAAGGTAGACAAGTACCTCAAGAAGGGTACGAAGAAGGATGACATCAGCGTTGAAACCAAACTGGTGGAATTCAAAGAATGTGCCTTATTGTTCAACTCGGCGTGCAAGGAGATGCTGCTGGCGGCGAAAAAAGTGTCAAAAAAATTGGCACAGTGCGACCCTTTGCGTTCCACCGAGGCGGCGGCACAGCCCAAATCGCGGAAGACGGAGGAATCGTTGCAGGAGGCGAAACAGCCGGCTGACGCAAAGGACAAAACTATTGCGGATCTTCAAAAGCGGATAGGGAATATAAGAGAAGATGCCGAAAGGGTTCAAGGCGAACTGCAGCAGAAGTTGTCTGATGCGCTTGCAGAGGTGACAGCTAAGTCTGATGAGTGCCTTCGTGTGAAGGCAGAAGGCGAAGAGTGTCGGGAGGAGCTGAGGGTGGCGCAGTCCCAAATGGCTCTATTGACTGATCGTCTCGGGGCGTTGGAACGACGCCGCTCCCACGAGTTTGCCTTGTTGGAGCGTATGTCAAACGACCATGAGAGGGACATCGCCGTCTGGCAGAAGAAGTGCTCACAGGCCCTGCAGGAGGTGGAGTACCTGCGTACGGAGAAGGAGAGTTTGCGAGGGCGCCTGGTTGATGAAAAACTCCGCGTTCAACTTCGTGAACTGCAGCAGGAGTGCAACCGCCTCCGCGAGGAGAACGCCACCCTTCGTCACGGCGGAATAGCGGATGAGACTTCGGTCAATGACGCAGGCATGGCGAAAAGAGGCGTGTTTGGGATGGGGCTGACGACGACTTGTCCGGAGGGGAAAAATGTTGGCACGGCTGAGAGCCCCGTCGTCGTCTCCCTCGAAATGGAGAAGAAACGGCTATTGGAGCAGCTGAGTGTTTCATTTGAGGAGAAATTGGCCCTTGAGAGCGAGCTGCTTATGCTCCGTCAGCGACTTGCTACGGTGGGGGGAAATACGGAGCAAACTCGCGGGAATGGGGAATTAAAAGATGCGCCGCCGTCGTCTCTTGTGGATTCGGCGATGGATGAAGACGCCAGCATGCAGCATGAATTCCCGTGTGACACCCGCAGTGCCGGCAAAACAGCTAGTAACAGTGGGGACGGCAGCACTTGCGGTTGCGCCGCGACCTCTAATAGTCATTTGGGCGTAAAAAACGAGAAACTGCCAAAGAATTGTGCACACAGCGACAATGGGGAGAAGAGTCGTGTGCGGGAATTGGAGGAATACGTTCGGCAGTTGGAGCTGCAGATGCGGGATGTCGTCACGACGGCGACGATGGCCGTTGACGATGAACGTAAAGCCGCGGAGCAACGGCTTCAGAAAGAAATTGCTCTTCATAGTGAGATTTATGAGTCGCAACTAGAAACTCTGAAACAATACGGCGAGAGACAGGCGCGCGAGGCAAAAGAGGCTGCGCTGCGGTGTCAGCAGCTGCAGGGCGAACTGGACTTGCTGCGGACTACTACAAAAAAGGAGAAGATTGCACAGCGAGATCTCTTGTCCGAAGCGGAGCGACGCCTCTCAATGGCTGAAAAGAAGATCTTTGCGGTGCGTCTTGACAACGAGCAGCTGAGAGTGAAGGAGCGTGTGCTGAGGCGGGAGTTAGAGAATATGAAGGCCCTGCTGGGTTCTCAGCATGTCTCCACACCGACACCAGCGTCAACACTGTCGCGACAGGAGGCGAAATTTAACAGCATTGGTGATGGCGGCGTTCCCAGCAACAAAGAGCAAAAACTGCATCCCTGTTTACCTCCCAATGACTGCTCCGCGGGAATAACAGCGACCACGGCAACGAGCGATGCAAAGAGCGACAAAGGAAGCACGAATGGTGGCAGCCAGGAGTTGGCATCAACTCCTCGGGGTTTGTCAGCTGCTGAGCGACTGGCTGAAGTCATTCGTCAGCTGCACGAGCGCTTGACGGCGTTAGACGCGGAGGCTGCACGGGTCACCGAGAAGTACGAAGAAGAGCACGGTGCGAGTACCCAACGTCTCCAGCAACTCCGTGCGGCACTTCTATACTGGAATCGTGACGATGACACTGATGACAGTTTGAACGGTGTGAACACGATGGAGATGCGGCGACGAATCGAGGCGGAAATTGGGGCTCTAGTGGAGTCGCAGCGTGCGGCACAGGACACCATCACGGCGTATTACGCTCAGGCTGGTAAGAAGCGGGGTGAACTCGTGGAAGCTCTTGAGAAAGCCAAAAATATGCGCATGGCGTTGAAGCGAGAATGACGTGTCTGTCTATTTTCCTTTAGAAGGAAGCAAAAAACTGTTGACTGTGTATTATTTTGATTTGAAAACCGTGCGAATAACGACGTGCCTCTGCAACGTGGAGGATCTTTTGGACGGTGACCACGACACATGGAATGCGGTTACATGCTTGATTTTGCATTATTTAACTTTATCACCTTTTTTTTGTTTGTTTGTCCTCTTTGTTGTTTTGATAATTTTTTAATGCTGCTGTCGAAGTGTCTTCTTTTTTTGTTTTTGTTTTTGCTCAGGAGCTGGTTTACTGCCGGGGGCTTTTGAGAGTGTGTGTGTGGAGGGGGAGGGGAGAGTTCAGTAAGCGTACTTGCATACGTACGCAAGTAGCTGTTAGAGGAGGGAAAGAGTGTTTGAGGTGGGGCACGGAATGCACGGAAAACGGGTTGCTCCGGTTGATTACACGCTTTACTTGGAATATCCGCCGGCGGCGCCACAGTGCAATGTGCGCGGTCTTCCAGAGCCGGGCAACGCATGGCCATCGACGGCGGGCTCGCCGCCGTACTTCTTCTTTTTCTCAGACAAAGAGTGCAACGCCCACACGGACGCCAAACGGACGCGTGAGAAGAATACTGCCGATCCGGAACTGGACGACTTCACGCGGCACCATCGATTCGTGCTGAAAAGACGAAAGGAGGTGGAGGATGCCAGGGTGTGTTATGAAGAGCATGCAGGAACAGGGCGTATGCGAAGCCCATGGATGAAATTTGGCACCCCAAAAACACCAGCAGCAGCCACAGCCTTGACGGAAAATTGCGGAGAAGGGCAAGACAGCAGTGGTTCTTCCCAGCTGCTGAAGAGCGCCAGTGCGCATGGTTTTAGCGAGACGATGTCTTCGCTGACATTGACGCAACGCCTCATATCGACTGCCACTGTTGGATCCCGACGACCGGATTCTTCGCCTTTGACGAGGATCGAATCACAGAAGGCGCGTCAACCCACGACTGAGATGTCTTTATCGCAGCGACCGCTGCGGGTTCAGGTGCATCAAACATGCCTCATAGTTCGAGATCAGCCAACGAACCCCGTGTTGGAGCCACTGTTTAAGGCCTCTACTTGGCGCATTTTGCCGCACAAGCCGAAGTGGAAATTGGATGAGGCCAATCAAATAACTCGCCATTATGACGAGCGTCTTTTGCGCTTCTTACGTGAGGGTGTCGCTTGCTAGTAAATCTATGAGCAAGGTATGTATTATATTTGTAAAGAATTGGTTTATTTTTACCATTGACACCGTGTTTTTTGCAGCCGTTGCAACTCTTTTAACTTTTGTTGTTGGTTTTTGTATTACATTTTTTTATTGATTCTGTGGTGATGAAAACATTGGGGAAATGTGAGTTACGCTGTGTTCTTACTGTTTCACCCCCTGTCTTGTTGGCTGTGTCATTGGACATCTTTTTTTTTTCCTTATGAATCGCGTGGTTGGGAGCGTGATGGGAGGGAAACGGAGAGACACCGTCTTTGAAAACGGCAGTACTCCGCCTCCTGCGGAATTATTTTTTGGTTTGTTGTTGCTCTTTGTATATATATATATATATATATATATATATATATGTTTGTGTGTGTTGTTTTTTTTTTTTCTTCCTCTTTCCCTCTTTGGGCAGGAGGAGGTTTATATCCACATTTGGCAGGGGGTCCCGTCCTCGTGCAAGTTATTCCTCACAGATGACACGGAAGTCAGTATCGGTGTCATCGTCACCCGCAGCAGCAGCAGCAGCCGTAGACTACGGTTGTCTCCTCCTTGTGGAATGTCGCAAGTGCGATGGGAGTGAGGCGTTCCGGCTCGGGGCAGAACTCCTCCGGTGGCCTGAGGAAGTGGCGGCGAAGGTGTACAGCGGTGGGGACGCCACTCTTCCCAGCATCCCTGTCAGCAACAAGTATTTCTCTACTAAGGTTCGTATCGTGATAACGGATGGAAATGCTCTGGCTGCCGAGAATAGTACTACCGAGGCATCAGACGCGGAGGATGTCTCTCTGTTGTCAAGTTTTTTGCGGCCGCAGTCGGTGAATAAAACTGGCTGGGTATTACTAGTGGACGGGTCTGTGCATCCGGATCAAATTCCCTGGCACTGTGTTCCAAATTCATGTCTTTTCCGTGTTGTGGTAAACTTCAATGGTGTTGGCATGAAAGTACAAGAAAAAATATGGTACGATGCCTGCGTGGCCAATGGCTTTGAGTATGTGCCGCATTTGGAAGGGTACGAAGTGGTACCAGCAGGGGTAGAGAGAAGCGGTCTGCTTGGAGGAGATTATCGAGGCTCCGCGAGACTCTTTCAGATTCTTCATAACACCATGTGGCCGGAGAATTGTCGTGTACCCAACGGGGCCAAGAGTGATGCAGATGACAAGAAGGCAGAAAGACGTCGTGCCGATTCCACAAATCTTTTGGCTGTGATAGACGACAATGGGAATGACGTCCTCCATTGGTTGTGTACGATGGGTAGGGATCGTCGCTTCTTTACAGCACAGTGGCCCTTGGAGGCGGGAGAAACAACTCTGAGGCAGGAAAAGAAGATTTCCTGGAACAGTGCGGTGGGCGAAGAGAGGAAGGCACTGGTAATTGCTAACAAGTATTATACTGCAAGGGTGGAGGTGCAGTGTCTGCATTCTGCTTTGTTGTGTCCCGCTATGGCCGATCTTTTTTTGGCCCAGTATGTGGACTGCCGCCCTAAATTGGCCCTTGTGTCTTGGCCCCCTAAATCCACACAGCAGGTCGTGGATGGGGCGACGTTTCCGCAGCTGCCCGTCCTCATCGATCAACTTCGTCGATGGGGCGTAGAAGACTGCGTCATCCTCACAAGAAGGGCGAAAGAATTCATTTTTTCTTTTGACGCGCACTACAGCGAGGAGCAGGGGTTTGAGGTTGTTTACATGGATGATGACGGGTTGGCACGTGTCGATGAAGAGGCAAGTGGGTTTGGCACTACTGGGGCTGACCGTCTTGCGGAGATTATCCACACAATTGAGTGGCCGCAGCGCACGTCCACCCCGACACTAAAACCACCACCATCGAGTACATCAGCGTTAACATCGGGGAAGAAGTTGAATCGCGTGCTTCTGTGGGCATGTGGTCCGTCTACTGTGGAGGAGGAAAGACTTTTGTCCAGGACCCTCCACATGTGTTTCTCGGTGTCTTGTGACCATAACAGTGCGGCTATTGCATCGATGACATCTTCCTCTATGGATACGCCCGTGGGAAGCACAATTGTGCACAACCGTTACTTTGACGCCACCGTCAGTATTTACTCCTTTGGTGGTGCACGAAGCGCCATTATGCGGGAACCTGAACCAAGTGTTGAGCAGCTACTCACATTTGGCGTTGTTGTTCTCTTGACGAAGGCGGATATGTCTGACGAATCAACTCGAAACTCCATTGGGGCAGCACTTAAAAAGTGTTACGCTGCCCAAATTGCCTGTTGTGGCATCTGCGATTCCGATTGGCTTCTTCTTGACGAAGAAAACCCCGACAGGGATGTGACGCGTCAATTGTGTGAGGCGGCGGAGGAAACACCAGCGTACCTGTGGTACGTCTTGGATGGTGACGAGTCCAACGAAGCTCTGGTGACGCGTGTTGAGGAAATGTTGCTTCACGTCACGTCAAGAGCATCTGGCACCATGTCAGCAGGGGCCGCGGGGAAAATACACGGCGTGTGTGAACACGGCAGCGGAGGCTCATCTGAAAACTCGGATGCCATCAGCAACGGCAAGGACGACGACTTTGCTGCTACGTCCATTGAGGTGCTGTACGGCCTGACGGATGTGGATGGGACGACGCGGTTGGGAGAAGTGGTGCAGCAACATGTGTGGCCAATTCGGACGATGAAGACGATCGAGCTCCAGCAAGAGGTGCGACAGGAGAAAAAGACGGAACATGACACGGAAAAGGTGCCTGCTAAGGAGAGGAGCGTGAAGGAGGAGGCGGTCGCGGCGGAGGAGGTTCCTGCGCTGTTGATTGGTTGTGAGCTCCCACCGGATTATCTCGTCGACCCGCTCACCCAAAGGTCTGTGCACGTTGAGGCGCTCGCGGTGGTGGCTGAAGGCAAGTTGGGTGAGCGGGGACAAAGCCCGCGGCGGCAGAAGGAGCTGGAACAGGATCTCATGGTATGGATGGACAAGATGAAGCGCCATGGCCACACGCTCCCCCGCAACGTGCGGCAGCGACAAGCCGAGATACTCGCAATTAAACTCGGCGAACATCTCGGCAAATTGGACGATGCATAAACAGCGTCCTCTCTCTCTCTCTGTGTGTGTGTGTGTGTGTAACTGTGTTTTTTGAATAACTTTGCCGTGGCGGGTGGGCCGGTGGCGCACTTTATTTCTCGTCTGCCTTCACAATGAAATCTTTCTTTTCTTTTTGTTGTTGTTGGTTTTTATGCCACCGATCTTCCTTATATATATATATATATATATATATATATATATACTGTGTGTGTTTTTTTTTTTTTTTTTTTTTTGGTTTACCCCTCTTTTTTTTTTTTTTAATTATTATTTCTTCTCCGCTAGTTGACGGCTGCGAGTGATGCTGCCAGTTCTGCTGCGTCGCCGGGCCGCAATGAGGGCGAGGACGTTCCTTTTGTACTCGGTGCTCTGCATGCTGGTGATGGTCGCCGCGGCCCTCCTCATCAGCGATGCAGAAGTCAACTCCCGCACACGATTGGGCATTGACGCTTCCCATGGCGAGGTGAGTCACCTCTTGCCCGGGGGAAATGAGCAGGAGGTGCTCGGTCACATCCCACTGAGCGTCAGGCAAATCTGGCGTGAGCGGCGCTTCCCGATTGTTCTCGGGGTACCATCTGTGGACAGTCCACCGCACAGAACACGTCGTGACCTGCAGCGTTCATCGTGGCTGCGCTACGTTGGGGTTGCCACGCGTGCGAATAATTTTACAGGGGAAATGTTGGTGTTATTTGCTCTTGGGCGTCATTTCTCACACGGTTATGTGTACTCGCAGGCAGCGCGGGATGAGGCCTCGCGGTCACATGATGTGTTGATGTTCGACATGAATGACGGCCGCCCCACGACAAACAAGCGCATTGGTGGTAGTGGGCATTGGGGATTTGCTGCAGAAGTAGGCACAAGCCGCAAATCTATGATGTGGTACGCCACAGCACTCCGCCTTTTTTCTCACGCAATCTACATTGCCAAGGCGGATGATGATGTGTTTATTCGTGTGCCACAGTTTCTGGCCGATCTACACCCATTGCCTCGTCTTGGGGTGTACTGGGGAAGAGTGATGCGATGGATGCCTAAAAAAGGAAACCCCACAGAAATGTTTTACTTCGTGGGCGGCATGTGCATCACTATGGCGAGAGATGTGGTGGAGCACATCACTTCATTCACGCCACTGCGGAGTGTCTTAGATTCCTTCGGGAATTTCCACAGTAAGGAGGAATTTGATTTGCTCCATTCCTTGAATGCTGAGCACGAGGATTTGATGTTGGGTCGGATCCTCTACGAGACACGCCATCCTAACATCACCCTTGTTTTTGAAAATACATGCCGCTTCCATGACATTCACGTGGGAGGCAATAAGGCACCTCTCACCTCTCGCTCCGTCGTGGTGCACCACCTAAAGGAAGAGGAATACGCGTTTCTTGCAAAACTTTTTCTCAATGAAAGCGCGGAGATGGTGAAACCCATGACGTTTGATCGCAGTTCATCCCCTTTTGGGGAAGTGGGGTGGGTAGTATACAGTTATCTTTGCTGATATTTCGGGTCATCTGAGGGAAGTAACTGTGTACTTTGCCCGCTAATCGTATGTACATATAAGAATACATGAATACATACATAAGGACTAAATCCCCTACCTCTTTTCTTACAAAATGAAACCACATTAAATTTTTTTACATGGTGCACCGCAAGAAGTGCATCTCGCCATTTCTTTTTTTTTTCCCCTTCTTTCCTTAATGTATACATTATGTTCCTTGACTTTTTAGTGTTTAGCAATCACTCTGACTCCGCAGTATGGGGTTTCGCGGGCATCCTGAACCTGCGAACAGGAGGACGAAGTCTGCCGCAGCAGCAGCAGCAACAGGAGGAGGGGCTGGAACGGGTGCTGATGAAATCCCGCTGAATCTCTCATTTGGCAACTTTGAGTTTGAGGAGATGAAACGCCTGGGACGACGTGGGGGAGGCGTCCGAGAGCTGGCCACGCTTCTTCGCCACGCCAAGCGGCAAACGGAGGCCCACGCTTCCATGCTGGGCTCAGAGGAGGGCGTGGAGAGGCGCCAGGCGGACCTACTCGACACCGCCATGCGACGCGCGGTCGGCGTGAAGGTGAAGGATGACCCGAAGCGGCTTGCGAGGGCGCTGGCAAAGCGGCGCAACAAAAAACGGAGCTCCGCGAAGAAGTGGGCTGAGCGGCTGGAGAATTTGCAGAGGTCGGTGAACACGGTGGTGGAGGATCGCACGATGGCACGGCAGGCAGCGCGGATGCGTCGAAAAGGTAAAGAGAGGGGAAAACAAAATCCGCGCGAAACGAAGCGGGCGCCTGGGGCAGCAGCCAAGAAAAAGGCCAAAAAGGGCGCCGATAGAAAAGGACCCACGGCAGCCGCAAGAAACAAGAAGCCAAGGCAGGGCAGGAAGTAGGGCGAAAAAAAAGAAGGAGGAAAAGGCGGGGGATGGCTGCCGTGGCTTATTGTGCTGCGGCGGCAGGAGAGAGAAAAGTGCAGCAGCATGAATGAACCGAGGGAGGGTGCGATTTTGCCTCTTTATGCATGCAAGTGTGTGTGTGTGTGTGTGTGTGTGTGTATGTTTGGTAATCCTGCTGATGACGATGGCACGGCTTGTGATGACTTCTTCCTGCCCGAGGGAAACCATGCGGAGGGCCGCTCCCAGGGGCATGGCGCCGGTGTCTTGCCCGCACCCGTGTTTTGGCCCCCGGACAAGCGAGGCGAGGAATACATGGCCCATTATCACCAAAAATCATCATGAATGTTGTTCGCTGTGTTCCCCTCCCGCAGTGGATGGCAAGCACCAAGATAACATCGGGTAAGAAGAAGGTGAATACTTCCATCGTAAGGTGTTGAATGGGCGTCGAAGTGTTCCTCCCTACGCATGCCTATTATTTTGTTGACATGGTTATGCGTAATCTGAGTTTTGTTTTTTTATTGTTCATTTCTGTCCAGTATGAAAATTTACTGCTTTTTTCTTGTTGTTTTTGTTGTTTATTGTCTTCAAACAAGTGAACAAGGCGTGCGCGTCTGTGTGTGTGTGTGTGTGTGTGTGTTTATTGTTGATATATTTTGGGTAACCTTTGTGTGTGCTAGGCAAAACACAACCGAGAGAGAGAGAGAGAGAGATAACGATAGAAATCCATACAAGGAAGGGGGAGCAAAGGGACAAAAAGGAAGACGCTCAATGATGCTGCGTCGGCTCAACAACGGCGTCACATCCCGCAGTCTCACCATGGCAACGGGTATGGGTCTCTCTATTGCGGGAAGATGTTTTCAGCAGTCACGGCGGAGTAGCCTCCCTGCCGTAAAGGAGACAATGATGATGGTTGCACCGACTTTTTGCATGTCAAGGCGCGGCTTCTCCCTGCAGCCCCTGCGACATATGCGCGGCGTAAAGTGGGTTAAGCCCGTAACATCTCCAATGAACTACGGCGGGGACAACACCGGAGGTGGCAGCACCGCTGACAGTCTCACGCCATATGTCCGACAGCATCTTTCGAGAGTCTATGGACTTCTTGCCGCTGGTACAGCTGTAGCTGGTATCGGTTCTTTTCTAATGTTTTCCACGCCCCTAGGGAAGGCCATGCCTTTCTGGCTGCCTATGGTGGGTGGATTTGTGCCACTTCTGTGGCTCTCATTTGCCCCACCGCAAGACCCAAACTTGAAGTTAGCGCTTTTTTTTTCCTTCACGGTGCTAGAGGGTATGGCATTGGCTCCACTGGTGGCGATCACAATGGCCAAAGGTGTCCTTGGCACTGCCATTGTCCTCACAGGTGCGGTGTTTTTTGGTTTCAGCGCCGCCGCTCTCTTAGCACCCCGCGCATCTCTGCTAGCGCTGCAGGGTCCACTGTTCGGTATGCTTATGGGCATGGTGGCGATTTCAATTCTGAACCTCTTCTACCCGACCGCCTTCGCCCACTCGCTTATCTTGTACGGTGGTCTCGCGCTCTTTTCGCTCTTTGTGTCGGTAGATACGCAGGCCATGATTGAGCGGGCCCGCTGCGGAGCTGGTGACCACGTGCAAGATGCTTTACAGATGTTCCTTAACGTGGTCAACATCTTTGTGCGCATCGCCCAAATTCTTGGCTCCATGGACCGGTAGGCGTGGAAGAGGCGGGGGAAAAGAAACCAAAGGCCACAGCAGCGGAGGTGGGTGGAGGTGGCGACTCGTCAATTGCCCTACTTTTTTTTTTTCTTCTTTTCCACCCCCCTACAAAGAAAACAAAAAACAAAAAAAGGAAGAACAACGCCGAGAGAAGAGAAGCGGGGGAAAAAAAGGATTTCAGAGAAGAAGAAGAAGAAGAAGAAGAAAAGAAAAATAAAAAAAGGAATAATAATAAAAATAACAAATGAGAGGTGATGCGTCTGTCACCGTCTCTGAGGGATACGATCGGCACCCCGCCCTTTTTTCTCTCTATTTTTGACACGGGGATTTGGGTGGGGGGGGAATGTAGAAGGAGTGAAAAAGAGGGTTATGGTGACAGGAATTCTTCTGGGGGTAATCTCAGCAAACTTACCTTTACAAAGCGCTGTTGAACCTTCATTATTATTATTATTTTTTTTTTTTTTTTTTTTTTTTTTTTGAGGGGACGATGGGCGTGGGAGAAGACCCCCGCACTCTCCCTGCAGTTTGTGTGAGCGGGTATGAAGTGCAAGGAGGAGTATTATTTGTGTCTGGGGCGTAAATTATTGCCGCCACACACATCCAGTGTGTGAAGAGTCGTTATTGTTCCTTCGTATTGTGATGTCTTT